CCGGGTCGAGGCTGCGGTGGCCGGGAGCGGCCACTGCACTCCAGTCTGGGCGACGGAGTGAGACTCCAACGCAAAAAAAAAAAAAACAGGTATGTGAATATCAAGCATGACCCCCTCCACGGCCGGACTTCAGACCTCTCCCTCCTTCTCCCACCAGCGTCAAGTTCATCAACAAGATCCAGTACGTGCACAGCCTGGAAGACCTTGAGCAGCTCATCCCCATGGAACACGTCCAGATCCCGGACTGCGTCCTGCAGTGAGTACCCAGTGGCAGCTCCGCCCCAGCCCCCACCAGGCTCCGTCCCCTGGTCCCCAGGGCAGACGGGAACCCGCAGAGAAAGGAAGAGCAGAGCCAGGCCCGGTGGCTCACGCCTGTCATCCCAGCACTTTGGGAGGCCGAGGCAGGAGGATTGCTTGAGCCCGGGAGTTCAAGACCAGCCTGGGCAACATAGCAAGACCCTGTCTCTACCAAACAAAAAATTGTTTTAGATTAGCCAGGCGTGGTGGTGCACACCTGTAGTCCCAGCTACTCGGGAGACTGAGGCAGGAGGATCGCTTGAGCCCAGAAGTTCAAAACTAGCCTGGGCAACATAGCGAGACCCCGTAGCTACAATTTTAAAAGAAACACGAAAAGAAAAAGATGACAAAGTGTCGAGTGAGGCGGTACACGTTGCCCTGCAGCCTGGTGTGTGTTTATGTTTGACGACGAGATTGTTTCTCTGCTGGAAAGGGGAGGACATTTCCTAGAAAGTGTATCTGCCCGGGGAGAGCAGGGCCGGGCCTGACGTCCCTGTCCTTCATTCAGGTACGAAGAGGAAAGGCTGAGGGCCAGGAGAGAGAGGTATGCGCAGAAGCCGCTGTCGGGGCTGGGTCGGGGCCGGGGTGAGCTGGGTTCTCCTATGGGGGGTGGCCCGTGACATCCGCTCAGCATCTCCACGTGGTAGACCCACTGCATGGTTCGCATCTGTCATCCCAGCACTTTGGAAGGCTGAGGTGGGAGGGTCACTTGAGGCCAGGAGTTCAAGACCAGCCTGGGCAACATAGCAAGACCCCGTCTCTACAAAAAAAAAAATATTTAGCCAGGCATATAGTGGCGCCTGTAGTCCCAGCTACTCAGGAGGCTGAGATGGGAGAATTGCTTGAGGCTAGGGGTTTGTGACCAGCCTGGGCAACATAGCAAGACCCCATCTCTACAAAAAAAAAAAAATTTA